TGCAGGCCGGCTCTCGTGCGCACTCTGTCCACGTGCCCTTGTCCACAGGTGACACCTTGATGATTGCTGGGAATTCCCTTCAGACGGATCTCCTGCCTCGCGCCTCTACCTGGTTCGGTGGCTTTTTTCAGATCCAGGGGAGCAGAGAAAGGGTCAGAAGCCGGGGGACATTCAGAGTTAAACAAGCCTGGAGGCGCTTTAGAAACGTCGCGGGACGGGGCCGGCGGAAGAACCGTGTTCCGTTTGCACAGCGCACGCTGTGAGCGTGGAGGGAAGATGTAGGAAAAGGAGCCGGCGAGACCCCAGCGGCTGTGCCGGGGCGGCGCAGAGCGCGGGCTCGGAAGATCCTCCCCCAGTTCCCGAGACGTGGCTTTCCGTCCCTGCACCTTTAAATATTCTTGCAGAGTCATCTCGGGTTTTCTGACGGTGATCTGAGCGATTCTCAGCGCGTGAATGGAAACAGAAAAACTCAGCAGCTGTCACTCCCCACGCAGACGCTTGATCTGAGACGGAAACGGTCCCACCGTCGCCACCGCTCCACGCCCCGTGCCAGCGCCACGGGCTGCAGCACGCACCGCCCAGAGCCCATCCCCGTCTCCCAGGGGTGCTGTACCCCCATCCCCTCTGAGCCCAGCAGAGGGGGCGGGTCCTGTCTACGGCCATGAGCGCTGTGGGAGGGGTCTCGGCGCTGGAGACGGTGGGACAGCCACACTTCAGCTGCACACGAGTTCTCTCTTCTGTGCCGGTCTCTGTCTCACACACACGCACACGCATGCACTGGCTACAGAGCACAGAACGGCAGGCGTCACGGTGCAGGCTCAGACGTGGCCGGCCCCCACCCTCCTGGCTCCCGCGGCCCCTCCTCCTCCACCTTCAGCGGGAGCCACGGCACCTCTGGAATCACCTTCCCTGGGCCTGGCACTGCCCGGGGCTGGGTCTCCAGCCGGCCTCCCTGTCACGGTGAGGACAGGTGACCCAGGACCCTCCTGTCCTTAGCTGGACAGCCTGAGGGTGGGGGGTCCCCTGTTCACAGACTCCCAGGCGCAGGACACACGTCTCAGGGGCTGCCATCTGCCCAGCACTCTGGCATCTTAAACTAGGTTGTGTGCGTGTGTGCACGTGTGTGTGTCTCTCTCTCTGTGTCACATATGCATGTGTGTCACATGTGCATGCATGTCTCATGTGTGCATGTGTGCAATGCATGCGTGTGCATGTGTCTGTATTGTGCGTGCATGTGTGTGTTTGTGTGTGTCATACATACGTGTGTGTGTGCGTGTGTGGTGTGCAGGTAGCTCCGGCTGACTAGGAGGGCACGTTGCCCATGTGACAGTCATCATCCCTGCCCCCGGGGCTCGCGCTGCCCCCTGCGGGATTGGTCCTTCCAGGCAGAACGGTTCTTTCTCCTGTTAAACTTCTCTCAACCACTTTATTTTACAATCTGTGGTCATTTTCTAATGATAAAGGCGAAACGTTTTGCTGCAGAAAATGCAGAAATGTGAAGCGGCTTTGACCAAGCCACGAGGAAAGAACGCGAGGGCCGGAGGGGGCTGTTTGCCCCAGGCCTGCTCCGTCCCCCGCCCCCGCCCCGTGTTTCCCACGAACAAGCGACTGGAGGCGGCTGCACTGAGCCTGCGCCTCAGCTTCCGGCACCACTGCTGGCCGGGCCACCCGGGATGTGCATGGCACAGCACAGACGACTGTGATGAGCTGAACCCCTGCCCCTGCCGGCTGCGGAGAGCCCTGATCTCTCCCGCACGCGGAGTCTCCAGCTCCCTGGGCACTGCCTTCGCCGTGACAGCCTCTCCCCCATCCGGGCCTCCCCAGGAATCCAGGGCCCCCCCCCCCCGGCTCTGGGACCAGGGTTCTGCTCAGCCCAGACCCCAAGCCGGCCAACCTGCACCCACTGCGGGGCCACGGCTCCTGCCTGGGAACCGCCTCCTCGCTGTCTTCCCACGCTCATGTGCCGTGCAGCCCTCATTCACCACGCACGATTTCCCGGCGTAAACGACGGCTCCTGATACTCTGAAACAGGCCCGAGCGAGGCCCAGCTCTGTGTGCAGAGGGTTCAGCCATGTGGGCGCCGGTTCAAGTCCCGGCTGCTCCACTTCCCATCCAGCTCCCTGCTATGGCCTGGGAAGGCAGTGGAAGATGGTTCAAGTCCTTGGGCCCCTGCACCCGCGTGGGAGACCTGGAGGAAGCTCCTGGCTCCTGGCTTCAGCCTGGCCCAGCCCTGGCCATCTGGGGAGTGCACCAGCAGATGGAAGATCTCTCTCTCTCTCTCTCTCTTTTTTTATATTTGGTTTTTTTTATTTTTGACAGGCAGAGTGGACAGTGAGAGAGAGAGACAGAGAGAGAAAGGTCTTCCTTTGCCGCTGGTTCACCCTCCAATGGCCGCCGCTGCAGCCGGCGCACCGCGCTGATCCTGGCAGGAGCCAGGAGCCAGGTGCTTTTCCTGGTCTCCCATGGGGTGCAGGGCCCAAGCACCTGGGCCATCCTCCACTGCACTCCCTGGCCATAGCAGAGAGCTGGCCTGGAAGAGGGGCAACCGGGACAGAATCCGGCGCCCCAACCGGGACTAGAACCCGGTGTGCCGGCGCCGCTAGGCGGTCTCTCTCTCTCTAACTCTTTCAAAATAAATAAAATAAATCTTTGAAATAATAAAATATTTAAAATAAAAATATATAAGATATATACATATAAAATAATAAAAATAAAATATATAAAATATAAAAGCGTAAATCCCGTGTTCTGAGCTCGCCTCGTGATTCGGTCTTGCTCCCCCCAGCTCCCTACAGACCCCCCCTCCAGCCCGGCCTGGCCCTGCCCCTCCTTCTCAAGGACCCCCAGCGTCCCTGGGACTTGGGGAAGGGCGCTCCGCGTGACTTGTGTCTTGGGCCTCAGTAGCCGAGTTGGTTGTTAAGAGTAAACACTTTCACATGTGTGCATGCATGGACACACACACGCCCGAGTGCCTGCATGCATGTACACACACGTGCATCCATGCACGCGCACACAGGAAAACGGACGTGCGTGTTCGTCCCTGTAGCTGAGGAGACCTGGGTCAGGACCACCACGCAGGCTCCACTGCTTCCTAGGGCTTCTGTTCTTTTGTCTCCACGGCTCCCGGCTTAACCGCGACCATGCTGCAGGCGGTCCGGGTTGGCCCACACCCCACGCCCGAGAGCCTGGGTCAGCTTCTGCCACCGGCCCCTGACTCCAGCTTCCTCCGGCAGTGGAGGCTGAGCGCTTGGGTCCCTGCCCCTGCCGTGGGAGACCTGGGTGTTTCCAGCTTGTGGGAGTGGCCCTGCCCCGTGCCTGTGCAGGCTCTCACGGCACCTGCAGGCCGCCCGTCACCCCACCTGAACGCACCGGGGCTGAGAGCCGGCTCCTGGGGCCAGACTCCCTTTGCAGGGAGAGTGAGACGCTTGTCTCCACGGGACCCTGGCTTGTAATAGGCCTGCCGTAACCGTGCTCTTGGTTGGAGACAGGAGACTGGCTGTGGCTCAGGGCCTTGTGAATTTGAAGATGATGATGGTGTGGCCCTCAAGGCAGGACACAGGCACGCACAGGCACAGGGGACTGTCCCCAGGAGAGACCCTGGGGTTTTGCCCTTCCCTCTAATATGTCCCTGGGTGTGCAAGCCCTCCCCTCCCCTGCCCGCCCCTGCTTCTACCTGGGCACCACACACCTGCTGGCTGAGGACGACGCACCTGGATTACCTGTGCAAGACTGGCCTGACTGTGCGCCTTTGGTTTACTGTGTCATTTAATACATCGGAGAGAGAGAGAGGGCCCTCCCACCCACTGGTTCACTCCCCAAATGCCTGCAACAGCGGGTGCTGGGCCAGCCAAAGTCAGAGGCCAGGAAGTCCACTTGGTTTCCCACGTGGGCTGCAGGGCCCCGGTGTCTGGGCCACCACTGCCGCCTCCCCGCTGTGTGTTGACCTCGGACGCAGAGCCAGGACTTGAGCCCAGGCACCTGAAGAGGGGATGTGGGTGTTCACGGGGCCTATCACCCGCCCCGTCACGCAGGGCACAGACTGAGGACTCGCCGTTGGGAACATTTGTACGGATTTCAACGGGCTCATCTTTCTAAGTGTCGGCGATTCGCGATTCTCATTTCAAAGCCAGCGTCCTTCAGCTGTGGTCTGAAAGCAAAGGACGGTGCCGGGGAACCCTGCATCAGGGTCTGGGAAGACGCGTCCTGGGGTGGCGTCATCAAAGCTGGCGCAGTGCCACCAGCACACGGGCCTGGAAGCACACTGGGGACTCTACGCAGCCAGGAGCGCCTCATTGATCCTGGGCCAAACACAGCGATCTGACCATCCAGTGCTCAGAGCCCCCGGGTGCTGCCCCCACCCCCTGGTCCTGGTAGAATTTGAACCTGGGGCTGTGGAACAGAACAAGAGCCCAGTATCAGACCTCTCGAGGGTGTGCTGTGGGATCCTCGCACAGTCAGAGCCCTGGCCCTTGGACGTCTGTGGCCCTGAGTCCCGGCCTCACCCTGACCTGCAGAACGGTGTGCACCTGCGGGGGCTCCTCCACCTGCTCCCTGAAGTCTGACCACGCCCACACGGTGCTGTGAGAGGTGGAGGTGGGCGTTGCACGCTGGACACTGCCCTTCTCTGGCCCTGTCCTGGTCACGCCCACACTCAGGGCACGGTTGAGGTGGCCGTGCTGGGTGTGGGACCACGACAGCTGATACAGCTCTTCCTTACACCGGGTTCATCATCTTTCCGGCAAATCGCTCACTTGGACATCCAGATGAAGCGCACATTTCCCCGAGAACGTGGGCTGGAGAAGCGACGACTGGTGTTGCACGCCACTTTCTCAGAGGGAGGAGACGCCTGACTGTTTGCACATCCGTGTGCACAGGACGGCCGCCTGGTGATGAGTCTGCCGTACGCAAATCGCGGGTCTGCAGAGGTCCCATCTCCACGCATGCTCCTGAACGCACGGGCTGCCCCTTTAAGACGGGAGTCGGTTTAGAATTAATCTGACTTCTGGGGGCTGGGTGGGGGCGCCACGGCAGAGGGAACAGGGTCCTGGCAGAACGAACCGGCCAGGCTAGGTGAGACCACTCAGTCAGCTGGTGTGGCCGGGCGGGGGTGGGGGTGGCTCGGCCACTCATGGGGAGGATGCTGGAGGATTTCTCAGAGACATGGTCCCCAGCCCCCCAGGGACCCCTCCAGAACGCCCTGGGCAAGCGGCGTGGGGTGGGGTCTTGCTGGTCTTTGTGCGATGCCAGAGACCCTGACCTCAGGAAACAGCCGCCTGCTTCCGTGTTCGTCCTGACTCCAACGCTTACACACGCGGCACAGACGCCTGCTGCTGGCGGGCGTGCCGTGTCGCCACACTTGGAGTCTCTGTCAGTCGGGACCGCCGCCACGTGCCGGCTCCCGCAGGCTCTGTCGGGCTGTGCTGCCGGCCTCCTCCCCCGTGAGCGGCTCCCCCCCGGCCAGGGTCACGGGAAGGGGCTGAGGGCGCCTCCACTTCCTGGACGCTTTGTTCCCTGCCTTGCCTGGGTGTCTGGGGCGCCGTGAGCCTCACGGCTGTGCAGGTGCCGCACCTGCCCGCCCCTCCTCCCAGGGGAAGCGTGGGTCCTGGCCGGGGGCTGTTCAGCTCGTGCAAACTGGGCTGCTGACCTGTCTCTCCGTGTCCCAGGAGCACCTGTGTGATTAGGGGCCACGCAGCTCTGTGGGGGTCCCAGCCTTGCCACCCGTGTCCCGCTCGGTGGCCCCATGGGCTGTGGGGTCCCCTTGTACTCTAGGCTTGTCACTTTGAGCAGCCCCAGGGTGAGACAGAGCATGGAAGAGAGAGCGTCCCCACCCCACCCCCAGCTGGGGGAGGGGCCGCACTGTGGAGCCCCGCCCCCTGTGACTCCTCTCCCTCTGGCCAGGGTGTTGAGGGCCACCTGGAGGTCCGGGAGACAGCAGACAGAGGCCGCCGGGGGGACTGGAACCCAGGAGCAGGGGCCCGGGAGAAGATGGCTGACGCGGCCAGGGCACCCAGGAAGGACGGCAGGACCAAGGAGATGCAGGTGAGCCGAGCGGGGGGACACTCACCATGAGCCTGGCCTGTGCTGGCCTCTCCTGGGGGACTGAAAGTGCACTAAGAGTTCGGCGTCCCTCCCTGGACCTGGGAGATGGCTGTTAAAGCAGATCAGAACGTTTGCCTGCCTCCCAAGCCCCTGCCCTCCCCTTCCCTGCCCTGGCCCAGCCAGTGCGCCCATGAAAGCCCCCAGCCCCCAGTGTGGTGGACCCCGCGCCCCTTCTGTCTCGGGCTGAGCCTGCGCTGGGTCGCGTGCCGAGCTCGAAGCACCAGGGCTGCCTCTCTGTTCAGGGCAGCAGAGGGGTCTGTGTGTGCCGGGGGTGCGGGGGTGCGGCCGCCACAGCCTGCACGCAGACCCCTCCACGCCCCCGGGGGCCGAGGTCACCCTGCCCTGGCCTCTCCCCTCTCACCACCACTCCAGCTCCTGCCCGGCGTCCTGAGTTTCAAACGCCCCCCAGACGCCGAGGGGCCGTCTCAGGGCCTGGGGTACACGGACGTGAGTCCAGGTCCGAGCGTGTCAGGGGACGCAGGAGGCAGCCAGGGGACTGCTTTGGGGGTGGCAGAGGCTCTGAGGGGCAGCCCCGCCCCCCGAGTCAGCACCCCTGGGTGCCAGAGCTGCTCCCACCGAGAGCTGGGCCCTGGAGCCTCAGGGCACTTCCGCAGGGAGAGCACCGCCGGCTGCTAAGGGAGCTCCCAGGGCCACTCAGCACCTTCCACACCCAAGCCAGGGGCACAGGGTCTCTGTCATGGGCAGGGGTCTCGTGGTGGGCAGGGGTCTCCGTGGTAGGCAGGGTCTCTGTGGTGGGCAGGGGTCTCTGTGGTAGGCAGGGGTCTCTGTGGTAGGCAGGGGTCTCTGTGGTGGGCAGGGGTCTCTGTGGTAGGCAGGGTCTCTGTGGTGGGCAGGGGTCTCCGTGGTAGGCAGGGGTCTCTGTGGTGGGCAGGGGTCTCTGTACTGGGGAGGGGTCTCCATGGTGGGGAGGGGTCTCTGTGGTAGGCAGGGTCTCTGTATTGGGGAGGGGTCTCCATGGTGGGGAGGAGTCTCTGTGGTGGGCAGGGGTCTCTGTAACGGGGAGGGGTCTCTGTGGTAGGCAGGGGTCTCTGTACTGGGGAGGGTCTCCATGGTAGGGAGGGGTCTCTGTGGTAGGCAGGGTCTCTGTATTGGGGAGGGGTCTCATGGTGGGGAGGGGTCTCTGTATTGGGGAGGGTCTCCATGGTGGGGAGGGGTCTCTGTGGTAGGCAGGGGTCTCTGTACTGGGGAGGGGTCTCATGGTGGGGAGGGGTCTCTGTGGTAGGCAGGGATCTCTGTGCTGGGGAGGGGTCTCCATGGTGGGGAGGAGTCTCTGTGGTAGGCAGGGGTCTCTGTACTGGGGAGGGGTCTCCATGGTGGGGAGGGGTCTCTGTGGTAGGCAGGGGTCTCTGTACTGGGGAGGGGTCTCCATGGTGGGGAGGGGTCTCTGTGGTGGGCAGGGTCTCTGTACTGGGGAGGGGTCTCCATGGTGGGGAGGGTCTCTGTGGTAGGCAGGGTCTCTGTACTGGGGAGGGGTCTCCATGGTGGGGAGGGGTCTCTGTGGTAGGCAGGGTCTCTGTATTGGGGAGGGGTCTCCATGGTGGGGAGGGGTCTCTGTGGTGGGCAGGGGTCTCTGTACTGGGGAGGGGTCTCCATGGTGGGGAGGGGTCTCTGTGGTAGGCAGGGTCTCTGTACTGGGGAGGGGTCTCCATGGTGGGGAGGGGTCTCTGTGGTAGGCAGGGTCTCTGTACTGGGGAGGGGTCTCTGTGGTGGGCAGGGTCTCTGTATTGGGGAGGGGTCTCCATGGTGGGGAGGGGTCTCTGTGGTGGGCAGGGTCTCTGTACTGGGGAGGGGTCTCCATGGTGGGGAGGGGTCTCTGTGGTAGGCGGGGGTCTCTGTACTGGGGAGGGGTCTCCATGGTGGGGAGGGGTCTCTGTGGTAGGCAGGGTCTCTGTATTGGGGAGGGGTCTCCATGGTGGGGAGGGGTCTCTGTGGTGGGCAGGGGTCTCTGTAACGGGGAGGGGTCTCTGTGGTGGGCAGGGGTCTCTGTACTGGGGAGGGGTCTCTGTAACGGGGAGGGGTCTCTGTACTGGGCAGGGGTCTCTGTACTGGGGAGGGGTCTCTGTGGTGGGCAGGGGTCTCTGTACTGGGGAGGGGTCTCCATGGTGGGGAGGGGTCTCTGTGGTAGGCAGGGGTCTCTGTACTGGGGAGGGGTCTCTGTGGTGGGCAGGGTCTCTGTACTGGGGAGGGGTCTCTGTGGTGGGCAGGGTCTCTGTACTGGGGAGGGGTCTCCATGGTGGGGAGGGGTCTCTGTGGTAGGCAGGGTCTCTGTACTGGGGAGGGGTCTCCATGGTGGGGAGGGGTCTCTGTGGTAGGCAGGGTCTCTGTATTGGGGAGGGGTCTCCATGGTGGGGAGGGGTCTCTGTGGTGGGCAGGGGTCTCTGTACTGGGGAGGGGTCTCCATGGTGGGGAGGGGTCTCTGTGGTAGGCAGGGTCTCTGTATTGGGGAGGGGTCTCCATGGTGGGGAGGGGTCTCTGTGGTGGGCAGGGTCTCTGTACTGGGGAGGGGTCTCCATGGTGGGGAGGGGTCTCTGTGGTAGGCAGGGGTCTCTGTACTGGGGAGGGGTCTCCATGGTGGGGAGGGGTCTCTGTGGTAGGCAGGGTCTCTGTATTGGGGAGGGGTCTCCATGGTGGGGAGGGGTCTCTGTGGTGGGCAGGGGTCTCTGTAACGGGGAGGGGTCTCTGTGGTGGGCAGGGGTCTCTGTACTGGGGAGGGGTCTCTGTAACGGGGAGGGGTCTCTGTACTGGGCAGGGGTCTCTGTACTGGGGAGGGGTCTCTGTGGTGGGCAGGGGTCTCTGTACTGGGGAGGGGTCTCCATGGTGGGGAGGGGTCTCTGTGGTAGGCAGGGTCTCTGTACTGGGGAGGGTCTCCATGGTGGGGAGGAGTCTCTGTGGTAGGCAGGGTCTCTGTATTGGGGAGGGGTCTCATGGTGGGGAGGGGTCTCTGTGGTGGGCAGGGTCTCTGTACTGGGGAGGGGTCTCCATGGTGGGGAGGGGTCTCTGTGGTAGGCAGGGTCTCTGTATTGGGGAGGGGTCTCCATGGTGGGGAGGAGTCTCTGTGGTAGGCAGGGTCTCTGTACTGGGGAGGGGTCTCCATGGTGGGGAGGAGTCTCTGTGGTAGGCAGGGGTCTCTGTACTGGGGAGGGGTCTCCATGGTGGGGAGGGGTCTCTGCTGTCCTTGGGTGTCCCCATGTGAAGCCACAGTCCCACCCGACTGCTTTGGCTGCCTGCGGGTCAGCAGCCTGTACAAGGGGCCGCACAGGCTGGGTGGGGCTCTGTGCACTGGGTCCTGTGCTGTGAGGTTGTTGTCTGGGCTTCCCTGCTGGGAGCCAGGTCTCCTCTCCTGGGGTCCTGCTGTACCCCTGCCTGTCTCTGGCTGTCTCTGCCTGTCCCTGCCCGTCCCTGTCTATCCCTGTCCGTCCCTGCCCATCCCTGCCCATGCCTGGCCTTCCCTGGCTGTCCCTGCCCGTCCCTGTCTATCCCTGTCCGTCCCTGCCCATCCCTGGCTGTCCCTGGCCGTCCCTGGCCATCCCTGGCTGTCCCTGCCTGTCCCTGCCCGTCCCTGGCCATCCCTGGCTGTCCCTGGCTTCCCTGGCCATCCCTGGCCATCCCTGGCTGTCCCTGGCTCTCCCTGTCCGTCCCTGCCTGGGCTGCAGACTACACATGGGAAGGGTGACGGGGCCTTGATTGGCAGAATCCTTCCAAGTCCCGCCTCTGCGGGTGGCGGCCCCGCCCTGGAGTCCTGGGCATAGAGAACAAGAGCCTGAATCCGACTGAAATCAATGCACTCACTTGCCTGTTTCTAGGATTACCTCGGGGAAGGACAGCAGCACGTTGTCCTAAGTGGGTGTGCAGCGGCCAGGTCCCCGGGCAGAGTGCTGTGAGGGGCCAGGCAGCTTCCTTGGGCCTGGCTGCTCCCTGCAGGAATCCCGGCTGTGCTCCGAGCCCCTTCCCACGGGACAGTCGTGGGCACAGCGGAGGGATGTGGGGGAGGCGGGCGGTGGCAGGCGGGCTGCTCCCTGCAGCTCCCCCCTCGCTGGTGCCCGAGGGAGCCTGCGAGCGGTTACGGCCCACCCGTGCTCCTGGCTGAGGTGGGCAGGCCGCACTGCACTCTGTAGGTGCGGGGCCGGCTTTGGGTCCTGTGTCTGCCTGTCCCCCGCCTGCCTTCTCCCCGGGGCACCCCCGCCTGCCTTCTCCCCGGGGCACGGGCTACACTCCCCTCTCCCCGCCTGCCAGAGCTGTGAACGTACTGCCTGTGGGTAGAGCGTCTCAGCTGTGCGACTTCCGAGCTGGACGCTTTCCTGTCTTTCTGTCCAAAAACAATTGGGGTCCCGACAGCCCAGCGGCTGAGCCTGCCAGAGTTTTAAGATTTTTAAAAAGATTTATGTATGGGGCCAGCACTGTGGCATAGTGGGTAAAGCTGCCTCCTGCAGTGCCAGCATCCCACATGGACACCAGTTCCACTTCCCATCCAGCTCTCTGCTATGGCCTGGGAAATCAGAGGAAGATGGCCCAGGTCCTTGGGCCCCTGCACCTGCATGGGAGACTCGGAAGAAGCTCCTGGCTCTTGGCTTCAGGTTGGCACAGCTCTGGCCGTTGAGGCCGTCTGGGGAGTGAACCAGTGGATGGAAGACCTCTCTCTCTCTGTCTCTCTCTGTCTCTTTACAGAGAGACAGAGAGAGATCTTCCATCCGCTGGTTCACTCTCTCTGTCTGTCTTCCATCCGCTGGTTCACTCTCCAGATGGTTGCAATGGCCAGAGCTGGGCGGATCCAAAGCCAGAAGCCAGAAGCTTCCTCCAGGTCTCCCATGCGGGTGCAGGGGCCCAGGGACCTGGGCCATCTTCCTCTGCTTTCCCAGGCCATAGCAGAGAGCTGGATCCTAGCAGCTGCGACCAGAAGTGGCACCCGTGCGGGATGCCGGAGTCCAGCCAGCAGCCTCACCCGCTGTGCCCAGCACCGGCCCCAGCCTGCTTTTACTTTGAGGTCTGCTCTGCACAGGGGTGTGGACGGAGGCCAGGTCAGGTTCATTCAAAGTGCGCAGGCACAGCTCCCTGCTTGCTCCCACCGGGGTGCCAAGGCCCAGAGCAGAACACAGCCACAGTCTCTTTGCCGCGGTCCTATTTTGACGAAGGGCAGTAATTCCCCAGCCAGCCTTCCCCGGCAGTGTCGTGCAGAGCGAGCCCGGTGGGGGTCAGGTGAAGCCCTCACCGTCCGGCCTGCCTCGCCCATCACAGGCACCTGTGGGCCGTCACATCTGCCGCCAGCGTCCCCTGCAGGTGCGCCCGGGTGTCTGAGCGACTCCCCTGCGTTCTCCCAACCACAGCTCCTGCGGCGGCAGGTGGCCGGGCTCCAGACGCAGCTCCGGCAGCACGAGGCGCGGTGGTGCAGGGCGCACAGCAGGCTGCAGGGCCAGATCGATGCACTGCTGAGACAGAACCTGCAGCTCCGCAGCGAGCTGAGGGCTTCCGGGCTGCAGCGGCTGGACGCCCACGGGGACTCCGTGGGACGCACGGGGGACCCTCCGGTACCAGAGACGGTGTGCATTCCTCAGAAGTAGCGGCCCTCGGAGGGGAGGCCTTCTCCAGGCGGGTGGTCCCCCTGCAGCGGTGAGAGGCCTGCTGCCTCCTGCTCAGCCCACCCACCAGTGAGGGAAGGGTGCAGGGGAGGGCGGCCCGACCCCGAGCTGCGGCGCCCGCGTCCTGGGCCTGCTCCCCCAGGCGCCTGATCCTGCGTGGCAGCAGCGGTGAGGCCGCGCCAGGGTGGTGCTCTCCGCCCACCAGGCTGATGGCCCCTCCCTCTGCACAACACCCCTGGGCCGACTCCAGACGGCTCATGGTCTCGGTTCTGTCTGCTTTGTGGCAAAGAAGCACGGAGCAGCCTGCAGCAATGGCCCAGGGTTTCTCTCAAAGATCCCGGGAGAGGTCCTGGGTGCTGGTCCCGGGCTTCCACAGAGCTGGCTTGTGTGGGGACAGTTCTGGGAGAGTGAGATGCCTGGTGCGTCCCTGGGAGGAGGGTGGGAGCTGGGGGCACGCCGGGACCCTGGTCGGGGGAGGATTGGCCACAGGCTGAGCCGGGTGGCTCACCTTCGCCTGCGAGCCTGAGGATGCTTCCGTAGACTGAGCCGTGTCCCCGCAGACTGCCTCTGGTGTCCTGTTTGGGTCACGGTGTGTTGGGTGAGCGCTTACGTATCAGGTACCCCCGGGAGTCAGCCAGGCCTTGCTCAGTCTTCAGGCACCAGCCCCTGGAGCTTTGCTGGTTCCCTGACTGAGCCCATGGCTAGGCGGTCCCCACGGGCGGTGCCCACGGCGGGATGATTCCCCCCAGGTGGTGCCCACGGCGGGATGATTCCCCCCAGGCGGTGTCCACGGCTGGGCGGTCCCCCCGGGCGGTGCCCACGGCGGGATGATTCCCCCCAGGCGGTGTCCACGGCTGGGCGGTCCCCCCGGGCGGTGCCCACGGCGGGATGATTCCCCCCGGGCGGTGCCCACGGCTGGGCGGTCCCCACAGGCGGTGCGCAGAGCAGCCCAGCTCTCAGAGGCTTGCGGGCGCCAGTGTGGCGATGGAATGTCCACACCTGAACACAGGTGCGTCTGTGTGAGGACAGCATTTCAGGGAGGGCGTGTCAGGAAGCACCAGTGAGACGGGAGCTCGCACCGGCCCCTCCCCTGCCCAGCCCCCCACCGAGGTCTGTGGTGAATAACTCAGAACGCCAGGCCGGAGACACCTGCGCAGCCCAGCACCGGGCCCAGGTTCCTCTCACGGCCGCTGCAGCTTCGGTGACCCGAGAGCTTCCCCGACTCTGGTCTGTGATAACCTGCCTTTAGGCACCGGACTGTACTTTTGGAAACGATTCGCCACCATTGGCCGAAGAAGAAATGAAGCCAAGACGCTCGGGCGGCAGGAGCCGCAGCGCCCCCATCCCCGGGCAGAGACCGTGGTCCAAAGCTTCGCCTTCTGCAAAGGTGACCCTGGGCGCTCCGGCTCGGAAAGGGGGGCAGAGGCCGGGGCCGAGCTCCGCCTCCACCATTCCTCGCGGGAAGGTCGCCCTCTGCGCGAGCTCCTAAGGACAGGAACCCGGGCCACCCTGCCGCGGGCTCCAGACTCTGCCGGCTGCTTTCCTGGGAGAGAGGGCCTGGCTGGGCCCTGGCCAGGGGCGGGAGGGCCGTCACCAAGCTCTGCTTCTGTTGGGGCAGCCTGGGACTTTCTCTGTTTGCTGGTTTACAATTTGATGGGCAGAGAGAGGAGGGAGACAGGGGCAGGCAGACAGACAGACAGGCAGAGAGCTCCCATCCAGGGCTTCACCCCTGTAAGTGCCCACAACGACTGAGACGGAGCCAGGTCGTCCGGGTCTCCCACGCGGGTGGCAGGGACCCCGTGACGAGCCAGCCGGGGCTGCATGCGCAGGACGCCGGGCTCCGGAGCCAGAGGCAGGCACGGCCCAGGCACTGCAGCGGGGGACGCGGCTGTGGCAGCCCGGGCTGCAGGCGGGCCTGCGGGGCGTGTTTTAAGGGGTCCCTCGCCGCCTGGGGAGGGCCCTCCGCTGTTTCCTGTCTCACGGCACTGGTTTCGTCCCTGCTGCTTTCCCACGTGGCCTCTCTGAGCTTTGTTTAGAAGCCACAGCGTAGGATGTCGCTGTGTCTCTGTCCTATTTTCTCTTAAAACGACTCCTCTCTAGAAGCTTCCGCCAGCAGTGTGCTTGCCGGCACCCCAGCTTGTGGCCCCCCTGCCCGTGGGAAGCCAGCCGGGGCTGGGGTGACGTGGCTGAGAGCACCCCCACCTCTGTGCCTGCCACCTCCCCCGTGCACCTGCTGAGCCGAGAGCACTTCGGCCCTTGAAAGAGGATCTGAAACCTCCAGCTCCCAGCATGGCTTGACAGCGGGAAGTCGCTCTTCTCGGACCTGGCGCGTGGCCTCTGAGGCCCAGGATGAAATGGGCCGGTTTTCCGGCTCCTTTGAGATGCAGCCTTCTCTGTCGCCGTTTCACAGGACTCACTGGGTGTGTGCGTGCGGAGAAGCGCTTAGCACCGTGTGGACCAGCGCCAAGCGCTGGCTCACCCACACCTCAAACCACACATGTTTGAGGTCCAAAGGGTGGAAAACAGTGTGCATTGAACGTTTGAAAGCTCAGTAGTAGGGACTTTATTTTACTGCGGTTCCCAGCCTTTTCTGTAATATCAGCCATCACAGTCCCAGGTTCCCCAGGGCCGGGCTTCTAGAATGGCTTGGAAGACACCGTGTTAGGGACGGTGTTGTGGTGCAGGGAGTGAAGCTGCCACCCACGACACTGGCATCTCACACGGCACTGGTTCGGTGCTGGTTCAAGTCCCACATGCTCCACTTCCCATCCAGCTCTCTGCTGTGGCCTGGGAAAGCAGTAGAAGACGACCCAAGTCCTTGGGCCCCTGCACCCACGTGGGAGACCTGGAAAAAGCTCCTGGCTCCTGGCTTCAGCCCAGCCCAGCCCCGGCCGTTGCAGCCATCTGGGGAGTGAACCAGTGGATGGAAGACCTCTCTCCCTCCCTCTCTAATTCTGACCTTCGAATAAGCACAGATCTTTAAAAGCAGTGTCCCTGTCATGCCCGTCTGTAGGCAGAAGCAGGTTCTCAATGGTTTAGCCTGGAGGCAGCATGGTGTATGACTGACATAACTGCACAAATGCCCCCTCGCGTATTTTCAGCCAGGAAGTGTGAAGACGGACAGAGTCCGCTCAGAGACTGCACCGCGGCGAGGGAGAGGGAAAGCTGTGGCCTCAGACGCTCCGGACGCAAGACCGGCTGCCTTTGAAGGGAGGCTGGATGCACGTGAGGCTGACCAGGTGACCCGTACGCGTACCTGAAATTCAGATTTAGGTAAAATTTTACTCCGGTCCAACAAGAATGTGCAATTTGTCGTTCAGAATAGACCTTGTAATGTATTTAATCTCATTGTTTCTGTAGATTAAAAGCTCGAATTTCTTTTTCTTTATTATTATTTTTTTTGACAGACAGTTAGACAGTAAGAGAGAGAGGGACAGAGAGAAAGGTCTTCCTTCTGTTGGTTCACCCCACAAAAGGCCACCACGGCTGGTGCTGCACTGATCCGAAGCCAGGAGCCAGGTGCTTCTCCTGGTCTCCCATGGGGTGCAGGGCCCAAGCACTTGGGCCATCCTCCACTGCACTCCCGGGCCACAGCAGAGAGCTGGCCTGGAAGAGGGGCAGCCGGGACAGAATCAGCGCCCCAACCAGGGTGCCGGGGTGCTGGCACCGCAGGTGGAGGATTAGCCTAGTGAGCTGCGGCACCGGCCCAAATTTCTTTTTAACAACTGAAAAAGTAAACTAATTAGATAGAATTACAAACAGCCTGCTCTGCCCTGTTCTGTACTTGGTGTGTGTCTCACAGTCTCAGCACGTGACTGAGAACCTGACGGCCGAGCGAGGCCTTGCGGGGTGGGGGCCTGGCCTGGGAGTGACCGGGGGCCCTGACTGTCCTTGCTCCAGGCTGCCCCTGAGGGCTCCCGCAGTCTGCAGACACAGCGCGGCAGGACATGGGCAGCGCCAGCTCCTGGGGAGGCTGCGCCCGAGGAGGAGGGGCCCGCGGGAGGCCGGCCTGGTGAGCAGGTGCAGGGCAGCGGGGGTCACCATGCGGTGCACACGGCCTGAGGAGGAGGGGTCTGCGGCCGGGGCCTGGGGAGCTGGTGCTGGGCAGCCCACCCGCCCTGCTGCGTGGTGCACACCCACCCAGCCCCATGCCTGGAACCCAGGGCTGCCCTGGACCTTGCCCTGTCCTCTGTCTGCCCTCGCCGCCTGCCCACGCTGGCCTGGCCACCTTGCCCTCCTGCTGCCACCCCCACCTCAACTCAGCCCCCAGACGAGGCCTCAGTGTCCCCGTGTGTGCAGAACGGGAGCCCCCTTCCTGGTGGAGCCAGCAGAGGCCTTCCCCGGGCTCCTCCGCCTCTCAGCCTGCGAGTCGCCTGGACCGAGGCTCTGTCCCCATGTCCACCCAACGCCGACTCCAGGGCACTTCCCCTGCCACGCCCAGGCACAGGCATCGCACCTGCTCATCGAGTCCTGCTCTCGTGTGAGCCTGCAGCCGCCCAGACGTGTGCAGAACAAGCTCATGGAAAACACAGTGGGCTGTGGGGAGCATGCTGGGTCAGGCGTTGTCCAGCCACGTGGGCGCTGTCCCCTGCAGTCCATCTGTTCTTTCAGGGCCACCACCAGCTGCCACTGTGGGTCCCAGGGGCCGGCTTCCCGCCTGCGTCCACCCCGACGGGCGCACCTGCTCTGTCCCAGACCCTGCCGAGCCACAGGTGAGTGGGGTTGAGCCCCCTGCCTGGGGTGCCCATGCCGGGCGGTCAGCGTGCGGGTGGGGGTCTGTGGTGTCCACAGCCTTTCCATGCTACAGCACAGAGGCGGCTCCGCCCGGGCTCAGTCTGTCCCACACCCAGACGCGTGGTCTCCCGTGGCTCCTGTGGGCTGGCTGCCTGTAGACTTAAGAGTTGTCCAGACCAAAGCTGGGTTCTTGGGCGTAACTCTCCACAATGAATGGAACCAAAGGCGAGTGGGAAGCGACTCCCAGGCCCTAGAAGCCGTCGCCTGCCGCCTTCCAGGGCCGATTGGCAACGCGGCCGACGAGGCAGCTTTCTCAGGGCAGGGGGAGTCAGAACCCGGCCCGCCCGACCTCCGCTCTCCCTCGAGCTGGGTTCCAGCTCGCCCGACCTGGAGCACCAGCGGCAGCGGTCTTTGGACTTCGCTTTGTTCTGGGCTCGGGGTGCGGGGTTCGCCTTAGAGCCGCCCGGCGGGCGGTCAGCGAGTCGGAGCCTGGCGCTGGCGCCCGGGGAGCTGGCCGGGATCCCACACACAGGTGAGGTCCTGGGGTGGCCACACTCAAGGCTGAACCGTATTTCTGGGTGCTCCCGAGTGTGTGGAAAAGGCAGCTGAAGGGCGCGTTTGCTCTGCGCCCGACCTTGGGGTCCCTGCCCGGTTTCTTCATCGTGTGCGTGGTCCACGCCTGCTTGAAGACCCCTCTCAGGGATCTCGGACTTTTTGCACCCACTTGTCCTGAAGTTCCCCCCCCCCGAGCGTTGGCGGCGCCCTCACGCACCGCCGCGTGCCGGGACAGCGCGCGTTCCCCGGCGTCGCCAGCTGTGCCCCGACGACTGCGCGAGACCCAATCATGCCCCTTCCGCAGGATCTTCCTGGAAAGGGAGCGTCTTCCCAGGTAGCCGAGCACCACACGGGCGCTACCAGCGGCAAAGGGGATGCACAGGGAACACAACACCCGCATGACAAGGTAGGGGCTGCGGGGTGGCAGCGTGCCCGAGGGACGGCCCGTGGGCTCCACGCCCCTGTCCCCGGGGCTGCCGCCTGCAAGCGTTCGGTGAACCCAGCAACACATGTTTCAAGAGGAAAATTCACCTGTTCTTGCCGCCGATACCTCTCATGCTCCGTGTGTAACCCTGCCCCCAAAGGAGCCATGCAGGGGCTGGTGGCTCTCGTGGGCTCGGGTGGGCTGGGAGCGGCGTGGGCTGCAGGTTCTGTGGGCTCCGTGGAGAGCTCACTCCTGAGGGGAACACGGGCTGTCCAGCCCCTCCCCCGCGCTCACTGGGTTTTCCTGGCTGTTGCGAGACGCCCCAGGCAGCTAGCGTGTAAGACAGGGAGGGGAGCCGGCGCCGTGGCTCACGTGGTTAATCCTCCGCCTGCGGCACCGGCATCTCAGGTGGGCGCCGGGCTCTAGTCCCGGTGGCTCCTCTTCCAGGCCAGCTCTCTGCTGTGGCCCGGGAGTGCAGTGGAGGATGGCCCAGGTCCTCGGGCCCCTGCACCCGAATGGGAGAAGCACCTGGATCGGCGCAGCGCCGGCCGTGGCGGCCATTTGGGGGTGAACCAATGGAAGGAAGACCTCTCTCTCTGTCTCTCTCACTGTCTAACTCTGTCAAATTAAAAAAAAAAAAAAAAAAGACAGGGAGTGAGCGTGCCTCTGTCTCTGCCCACGTGGTCTCTTACGAAGCCGGCAGGACGCAGTCCCAGGGCTGCCCCACCTCCGCCCAGTGCCCAGGGACCCCAGCCCCACACCCGCCTCGTCCTGAGGCCCCTTCCTGTTAGCATCATTAGCATGTGACACTGGGGACCGAGCCACGTGAGCTGGGCCACGTCATGCTCCCGCCGGAGCTTATGCAACGCGACACTCATTCCTCTGAGCCTCTTGGGCTGGCCTGGAGCCAGGGCGCCTCCACGCTCTGCCGCGTGGATCTGTGCGGTGCATCGGGGAGAACCAGAGCAGCTGCTCACAGAAGCGGCCGGAGCGGGCTTCAATCTGTCTTTCGTGTGGTTGAAGGCGGGCCTGCCGGGAAGGAAAGCCACAGATTTCAGATACCTTATCCTGGCATCTCGGCGGGCGGGCTCACGGGCGCTTCTCTGTGTGCAGTGAGTCACTCAATCTCAGGAAGCCCCAGCAATGTGGGCAGGCCAGGCCTTCCTCCCGCCTGCACCTGCGGTACCCCAGGTACCGTAGCCTGTCGGTCACGGCTCCGGGGCACGTGAGGCCCACGGAATCATCCGGCCCGGCCCTGCCAAAGCCCCTGCAGGTGACTCGGAATCCAAGAAACCTGAGCAGGCTGGTTTTTAGTTGGTCATCAATTTATTTTTTATTTACTTGAAAGGCAGAGTTGCAGAGAAGAGGAAGAGAGGGGGAAGAGAGAGAGGTCTTCCATCTGCTGCTTCACTGCCCGGATGGCCACAGTCGCTGAAGCCAGGAGCCAGTAACCGGATCCGGCCCTTGCATGTGGGCGCAGGGGCCCAAGTCCCCCCGGGCCATTTTCTGCTGCTTTCCCAGGTGCATCAGCAGGGAGCTGGTTCAGAAGTGGAGCCGCCAGAGCCCATATGGGATGCCGGTGTGGCAGGCAGAGACATAACCCACACCGCCACGGCACCGGCCCCTAAGTCAGCCGCTCTGCACGCCCCACTGTGACTTTACCAATCTCCAAGTAGCCCCCCCCACCTCGGATGCTCAGGCTCCCCATACAAAACGCTGTAATGTGTGCGTCGGCCTTGGTGCCACGAGGCGTCCCCGACGCTCGGCCTCTCACCACGCGGTGCCGACATTCTGTTTCTGATATAAACTCCAGAAATCATGCTTGGTTTCATGATTTTCGTACGTGGAACATTTAAACAATTTTCTGTGGTTTTCCATTTCTGAGCGGTAATGGGCTCTTTAAACCTGATGGAGTGTTTTTTTTTAAGATTATTTATTTGAAAGAGGCAGAGGCAGAGAGAGAGAGAGAGAGAGAGAGAGAGAGAGAGGTCTTCTATCCGCTGGTTCACTCCCCAGATGGCCACAACAGCCGGAGCTGTGCCGATCCGAAGCCAGGAGCCAGGAGCTTCTTCTGGGTCTCCCACGTGGGTACAGGGGCCCACGGACTTGGGCCATCCTCCACTGCTTTCCCAGGCCACGGCAGAGAGCTGGATCGGAAGTGGAGCAGCCGAGACTAGAACCAGTGCTCAAATGGGATGGCGGCACTGCAGGCAGTGGCTTTACCCGCTATGCCACGGCGCTGGCCCCTGTAATGGAGTTTTTATGCTTGGTTAGGAATTCATCCTCCAGGGTCCAGCTGAGCACACAGCCTGGTTGGCTTGGGAGGGTGGGGAAGGAGTGGCCCTGGCTCAGCCCTCAGTCAGGACACCTGCTTGCTGGCCAGCAGGGGGCACACTGCACTGCGTCTGCTGGTGGCTGGCAGTGCCTTTCCCTCCAGTTGAAGGACTGCTGGGTTCTGAGCCGTGTAGGGGTGAGAGGAGCAGCCAGGTACAATCAGCAGAGGCACACTCTGCCACCGGCGTCTCCCAGGAACACGTGAGGATCCCGGTCTCCCTCCTGGGGCTGATTTTCCACGGTGATGTTTTCGGTTTGCCTGGCACGTGCAGTCCTCGGCTACGTCCACTGGGATCAGTGCCCCGTGGGACAGGCAGAGCGGGCTGTGGACCCCGGGGATGGACAGAAAGGGAAAAAAACGTAGAGATTCCCACAATTCCTGGGGGCCCCAAGTTTACCGAGTTCAGGGACCAGAGGTTATGGAGACGGCTGGCAGATGTGTTTTAGGACACACAGGTGTTCGTGGGGGAATCGTGACGCGGCCTCACCATTCACACCAGGCCAGCATGGAGGACTGTGTTGTTCTCCTCGGGCAGTAGCACAAGCCACGCCCTCCACGCTGTGCAGGCAGCTGGCACTGGGGATGCTGAGTGGGGGATGCGGAGGGGACGAGAGCGCGCGGAGGGGGCTCTCACCGGACACGTGTTTGCCCCCAGGTGGAGCAGACGCTGGGCGATGGCCGGACAGTCGTCACCTTCCCTGACGGGACCCAGAAGGAGACCAGCGCCGATGGGCGGACCACCGTCATCAGGTTTTTTAACGGAGATGTGAAGACCATCAAGCCGGACCGGAAGGTGGTGGGTACCGCAGGCAGCAGCCCGATGGCTGGCCGGGGAAAGCCATGCTCACCCTCTCCTTCCCGCCCTGGGAGTTCCAGGACTGGGGAGGGGGAAGGGGCAACCTCGACTGCTGTGTCCTGTGAGCCCCCCCCCCCAGCCTGCGTGTGGCTACAGCCGTGGTCCAAACCTCAGCCTGCATGAGACGTGGTGGCTAATCGGAAGATGAACTGCTTGTCAAACTGCTGCCCTCCCGCCCTCCCCTCCAGACAGGCTGACCAGCCCCCACAGGGGGCGCCAGCCCCGCAGGCAGCTTAGGTGGAGCTGGGGGTGGGGTCGTGGGCGGCGGTGTGTGCCCTGGCACCAGGGAATCAGCCAGGGCTGTGAGGAGGACCGCATCGGGCGTGGGTTGCCGGGTGTGGGTTAGTACTCAGCATCAGCTGTGCCCGTGCGGCCGTGCCTGGTGTGGCGGAAGGCAGCAGGCCGTGGGAGCTCGAGGTCAGCGTGGGACATCCTGGTTCTGGGCTGTGTCCGGGGTTCCACACGGGAGGCATGGCTCTGCAGCCGGGGGACAGGGCGGCCCTGGTCCCGATCACTGGGGACATGGAACACCCAGCTTGTCCGGAAGTCCTGGTGGTGAGGGCAGGGTTCTGGGGACGGAGGCCCGGCCGGCGCACCGGGCCGCACGCACTCCACCACGCCCCCTGGCTGGCTGATGTGCTGTGATGGAGCCGCCCTCCTGGGCCCCAGCGACAGCGTCCTGACCTCCCAGGAGCGTGGCCCCAGCAGGCGGCACTGCCACTTGCTCGCCCCTGACCCTCTCCATCTCAGCCCAGTGCAGGGGTGTGCGACGCGGGGATGAGCTCCGAGCCCACCTCAGCCATTAGCTTTGGGCCCCAGTGGCAAGGAGTCGTGGCGTAGCTGGGCTTGGGGACGTGGAGCGCGAGGCAAACCTAAGACATGCAGAGTGCGGCCTGGGACCTCTCCCTGTCCTGCCCTTGTGTGCAGTCTGCGCAGAAGTCCCTGGGGGTCCCACTAGGCTCTCGCTGGGCCCTGGAGGACAGCCGGCCCCAGTGGACACGGCCAGCCTGGGCAGTCATCGCCCGCGTGGGAGATGACTCTCATCTGGCTTCTGCAGAAATTATCCCTGTAATGTGATTCCTTCAGCAACGGGGCAGAACCTCCTGAAATCCCAGTTCTCAGCTTTCCCAATACCCAGCCTTATTGGGATAAGCCCCTCCTCCCCACACCCTTGTCCCCTCTTAGCCCCCTCCCCACACCCCTGTCCCCTCTTAGCCCCCTTCCCACACCCCTGTCCCCTCTGTATCCCCCTCCCCACACCCCTGTCCCCTCTGTATCCCCCTCCCCACACCCCTGTCCCCTCTGTAGCCCCCTCCCCACACCCCTGTCCCCTCTGTATTCCCCCCACACCCCTGTCCCCTCTGTAGCCCCCTCCCCACACCCCTGTCCCCTCTTAGCCCCCTCCCCACACCCCTGTCCCCTCTGTATTCCCCCCACACCCCTGTCCCCTCTGTAGCCCCCTCCCCACACCCCTGTCCCCTCTGTAGCTCCCTCCCCACACCCCTGTCCCCTCTGTAGCTCCCTCCCCACACCCCTGTCCCCTCTGTATCCCCCTCCCCACACCCCTGTCCCCTCTGTAGCTCCCTCCCCACACCCCTGTCCCCTCTTAGCCCCCTCCCCACACCCCTGTCCCCTCTGTATTCCCCTCCCCACACCCCTGTCCCCTCTGTATCCCCCTCCCCACACCCCTGTCCCCTCTGTATCCCCCTCCCCACACCCCTGTCCCCTCTGTAGCCCCCTCCCCACACCCCTGTCCCCTCTGTAGCCCCCTCCCCACACCCCTGTCCCCTCTGTAGCTCCCTCCCCACACCCCTGTCCCCTCTGTATCCCCCTCCCCACACCCCTGTCCCCTCTGTATCCCCCTCCCCACACCCCTGTCCCCTCTGTAGCCCCCTCCCCACACCCCTGTCCCTTCTGTATTCTCCCCACACCCCTGTCCCCTTTGTATTCCCCCCTCCCCACACCCCTGTCCCTTCTGTATTCTCCCCACACCCCTGTCCCCTTTGTATTCCCCCCTCCCCACACCCCTGTCCCCTCTGTAGCCTCCTCCCCACACCCCTGTCCTCTCTATAGCCCCCTCCCCACACCCCTGTCCCCTCTGTATTCCCCCCACACCCCTGTCCCCTCTGTATTCCCCCACACACCCCTGTCCCCTCTGTAGCCCCCTCCCCTCACCGCTGCCCCCCGTATCCCCCTTCCACTCCTCCTTTTACCACCTTCCTGGAAACCAGAAGGCGTCACAACTCTTGGAAACTTCTGACGAGTGACACTCCGGGAGGCCCGGTTCTGGGGGTCTGAGGACGGGCTGGTGCTTTCTGGGCTGTCTCCAGCTGCGCCTGGTTCTCGCTCTGGGGCTTCGGCTCGCACCCCCCAGGTCGGATGCAGGCCCCGCACGCTCTAGGTTCTGCAGCCTGCAGGTTTGGCTGCCCGGGGAGGCCAGGGCCACTCCACATCCTCATCTCAGCTTCTGGGCTCCCCGACCCCGCTGCTGAGGGCGCCCAGGGACGAGGCTGGGGGCGGGGGCTGTCACCCCTGCAGGAAGTCCTTCCTGGATTTAACCCCGGCTAGCAGCTCCTCTGGTGCTGACAGGTCTATTACTACGCGGAGGCGGGGACGACACACACGACCTACCCCAGCGGGCTGGAGGTGCTGCAGTTCCCCAACAAGCAGAGAGGTGAGTGTCCTCGGTGGGGCGTGCAGAACGCGGGCTCAGCAGGCACGGAACCTGCTAGAACGTGGGCTCAGCGGGCACGGAACCTGTTAGAACGTGGGTTCAGCGGGCACGGAACCTGCTAGAACGTGGGGTTCAGCGGGCACGGAACCTGCTAGAACGCGGGCTCAGCGGGCACGGAACCTGTTAGAACGTGGGTTCAGCGGGCACGGAACCTGCTAGAACGTGGGGTTCAGCGGGCACGGAACCTGCTAGAACGCGGGCTCAGCGGGCACGGAACCTGCTAGAACGTGGGTTCAGCGGGCACGAAACCTGCTAGAACGCGGGCTCAGCGGGCACGGAACCTGCTAGAACATGGGCTCAGCGGGCACGGAACCTGCTAGAACGTGGGGTTCAGCGGGCACGGAACCTGCTAGAACGTGGGGTTCAGCGGGCACGGAACCTGCTAGAACGTGGGCTCAGCGGGCACGGAACCTGCTAGAACGCGGGCTCAGCGGGCACGGAACCTGCTGGGCACCCTCCCCAGGGGGCTCAGGGCTTAACCTGCTCAGTGAAAAACAACTGTGCTTTGCTCCTGACTCTCACGAACTCACCACGGGGCTATGGCTTCCGATGCCTCCAGCCTCATCCCTGGGCACGGGTTTCCATGTGGCGTGGCGTGGCGTGGCAGGTGTCACAGGCCGCTAGTTTTCACCAAGTAGCACGGGCTTTCCTGAAGCCCTTGCTCTCTGGAGCAGGCACCGCCGGGAGACGGAGACGCCTGGCCTTGCGGGTTTCTCCTCCTGGCCAGAGCCGACACGCCCATCATGCGAGTGTCCTCATGCTCCTGCCCAGAGCTCCTCCCCGGCCCCGCAGTGCCCCAGCGAGGGGCGGCTCAGTGGTCAGTGCTGTCAGCCACCAGAGGGGAGCCCCGCCCACACGGCAGAATTTTTTAAAATTTATTTATTTTATTGAAAGAGTTACACTGAGAGAGAAGGAGAGGCAGAGAGAGAAAGAGAGAGAGAGAGGTCTTCCATCCACTGGTTCACTCCCCTAATGGCCGCAATGTACAGAGCTGAGCCAATCTGAAACCAGGAGCCAGGAGCTTCTGCCAGGTCTCCCATGAGGGTGCAGGGGCCCAAGGACTTGGGCCATCTTCCACTGCTTTCCCAGGCCACAGCAGAGAGCTGGATGGGAAGTGGAGCAACAGGGATTTGAACCGGCGCCCATATGGAATGCCAGCACTGCCCCTCCCTTTTCTCTTTTAAGAAGTGCAACCATAAATGTAAAATTTTTTTTAAAAAAGATGTATTTATTTATTTGAAAGGCAGAGATACAGAGAGAGAAGGAGAAGGTGTCGGGGAGAGGTGTCTTCCATCTGCTGGTTCACTCCCAAACGCCTGCAACAGTGGGAGCTGGGCCAGGAGCTTCCACCGGGTCTCCCACGCAGGTGCAGGGGCCCAAGCACTTGGGCCATCTTCCACTGCGTTCCCAGGCCACAGCAGAGAGCTGGATCGGAAGTGGAGCAGCCGGGTCACGAACTGGTCCCATATGGGATGCCGGTGCTGCAGGCAGAGGCTTAACCTATGGCACAGTGCTGGCCCCTAAATTAAATTTTTTTTAAAAGGACTTGAGGCCAGATTTCTCACTTGCAGACCTGGGAAGTGGCATTGCTGGGCGGGGTCTCCTGGGTGGGGGAGGGAGTCCAGGGACACGCTCTTTGCTTAGGCCACCTGGGCTCACCAGGGACCCGGCCAGGCGGACCTCGCAGCCCAGGCGTGTGAGTCAGAGAAGGAGTCGGGGGCCGGTGCTGAGGATTCCACGGCTCCCAGGCACGGCGTGCTCAGCGTGTGGCAGCACCGTATCCCTGGTCGGTCCGGGCGCGGGTCCCTGTCGTGGCTGCAGCAGTGGGGCGGGTGCCTTCCCCGAGCCCGCGGCAGAACGCCGCTGGCTGCAGCAGTGCCCGCACGGTGCTGGGTGTGTGAAGCCCCGCGGCCTCCCCTGGGCTGGGCCTGGGTCTCTGACGCTCTGTGGGGCTTGCAGAAGGGCTGGCCAGGCCCAGAGTTCCGGCCCCACTCACGCGGGCTCCCTGGAGCACTCCCCTCCCAGGCTCTGTGTCAGTGTCTGGTGGGGTCTGGGATAGATTCTTGCCTGTGTCTGTGTCCTCTCTGGATCTACACCGAGCGGCAGGGTGTGTGCCCACGTGGCACTCTGCTGGCAGAACTGGCTACGGGGTTGGTGTCTCACCTGAATTTCCAGGCCTTCCTCTTTAAGGTTGGGTGTGGTGCTGATGCCAGTAACACCCGAGAAGGCGGTCTCTGGGGGTCTCAGGCTGTCTCTGGGGGTCTTGGGTGGTCTCTGGGGTCTTGGGTGGTCTCGGGCGGTCTCTGGGAGTCTTGGGTCGTCTCTTGGGGCCTCAGGTGGTCTCTGGGGGTCTTGGGCGGTCTCTGGGGGTCTTGGGCAGTCTCTGGGGATCTTGGGAAGTCTCTGGGGGTCTTGGGGGTCACTGGTGGTCTCAGGCGGTCTCAGGGGGTCTCGGGTGGTCTCTGGGGGTCTTAGGTGGTCACTGGTGGTCTCAGTCAGTCTCTGGGGGGTCTCAGGTGGTCCCTGGAGGCCATCCTTGCTGCCACGCCCACTCCCGAGCCAGTTCCTGCCCGCATGCTGCAGGGGCTGGGCTTGCCCTTGTCTTTAAAGATTTATTTATTTGAAAGCAGAGTGATAGAGAGAGGGAGAGACAGACAGAGATTTTCAATCTGGCTCACTCCTCAAATGGCCACAACAGCTGGGGCTGGGTCAGGCTGAAGCCAGGAGCCAGGAGCCAGGAGCCAGGAGCCGGGAGCCAGGAGCCGGGAGCCAGGAGCTTCCTCCAGGTCTTCCACGTGGTTGCAGGGGCCCAAACACTTGGACCATCCTCTGCTGCTTTCCCAGGCCTTTAGCAGGGGGCTGGATAGGATGTGGAGCAGCCGGGACTTGAACTGGCGTCCGCCTGGGATTATGGGATGCTGGCATTGCAAACGGCAGCTTAACCCGCTGCACCACAGAGCCAGCCCTGAGGTTTAGCGTTTTCAATAAGAAGGTTTCTCAGCTGCAACGCCAGGGAGGCCTGACAACCCCACCACGCTGTGGGGGCTTTTTCGTGGCCCGTCCTGGAGTGGCCTGTCCTCGTGTCTCTGAACCTCTCTATCCCTGACCCTCGCTTCTCACGTGGTCTGGGCAGCCCTCTGCTTGCCTTGTGAAACCATAGTACTCTCTGGATTAGTGTGCATGTGTGCGTGTGTGCGTATACATGTGTGTGTGTGTGTGGTTCTCTGCCTGGTTTGCAGCAGCAGGAATGTTTCAATAGAGATCTTTGCATGGGATACAATGTAGCTTCCTGCTGGGCGTGAGTCTGAAGTGGACCCGCCTGGGGCTGATCTGTGGGTGTTGGGCACTTCTCCCGCACCTCCCCCAGCAACCCTCAGGCCCTGACATGGCCTCGAGCTGCCTCAGGGAGGGCTCAGCTGTCCAGGGTTCTGGGCCACAGCCACCAGGTGGCCAGGGACAGGGACCTGGCTCCTCGCCCAGTGCGCAGGCTGGTGCCCGGCTCCCGGGAAGGCGCCTTGTTTGCCCGCTCGTCTTTACGTCACAGAGTGCTCTGTCTGTCAGGGCGTCACCGTGACGCCGCCCTTCCCGATGAACGTGGGTTGGCACTGCCCTCGGTCTTCCAGAGAAGCAGAAACTGGGTGAACGACAAGGCTTACCCCCACCGGGGCTGTAGCGGGATCAAAGCTGTCGGAAACAGGAAGCCGTCGTGGTTGAACAGAGCGAGCTAACAAACCAAGGGCGCTTCCTTGTTCCAGTTCTTTCAAATTTGATGAATGCTGTTTCTCTAGGGAAGGCTCGTGGCCCTCCCAGGGTGGGGCTGCCCGGGTGAGCAGAGCGAGCCCAGCGGCCGAGCGCCACACCCCAGAGACAAGGCCTGGGGTCCTAGCGCCCCCAGGTGCCGCGGGCATCCGTGCCGTCCGCCTGTCACCACCTGTGCGGTGCTGGAAGTGTGTGATTGTTCATTACTCTCACCTTAACTGAAAGGTAGAGAGACAGAGGGTTTCCCACATACTCGCTACCCACAACAGCTTCCCGTGGGCAGGTCCCACACTTTTTCATAGTGTGGGACCTGCCCGGCTGTGCCTGGGGCCATCCTGGGGCGAGGTGTGGGTGTCCACCCCCATAGCTGTGTGTGTGGGGCATGGTGTGGGTGTCTACCCACACAGCTCTGTGTGTAGGGTGTGGTGTGGGTGTCCACCCCCACAGCTCTGTGTGTGGGGTGTGGTGTGGGCGTCCACCCCCATAGCTCTGTGTGTGGGGTGTGGTATGGGGCGTCCACCCCCATAGCTCTGTGTGTGGGGTGTGGTATGGGGTGTCCACTCCCATAGCTCTGTGTTTAGGGCGTGGTGTGGGGCGTCCACCCCCATAGCTGTGTGTGTGGGGCGTGGTGTGGGTGTCTACCCACACAGCTCTGTGTGTAGGGTGTAGTGTGGGTGTCCACCCCCACAGCTCTGTGTGTGGGGTGTGGTGTGGGTGTCTACCCACACAGCTCTGTGTGTAGGGTGTGGTGTGGGTGTCCACCCCCATAGCTCTGTGTGTGGGGTGTGGTGTGGGTGTCCACCCCCATAGCTCTGTGTGTGGGGTGTGGTGTGGGTGTCCACCCCCATAGCTCTGTGTTTAGGGCGTAGTGAGGGGCATCCACCCCCATAGCTCTGTGTTTAGGGCGTAGTGAGGGGCATCCACCCCATAGCTCTGTGTTTAGGGCGTAGTGAGGGGCGTCCACCCCATAGCTCTGTGTGTGGGGTGTGGTGTGGGTGTCTACCCCATAGCTCTGTGTGTGGGGTGTGGTGTGGGTGTCCACCCCCATAGCTCTGTGTCCCTCTCTCTCTCTCTAACCCTTTCAAAGAAAAAAAAATAAAAGAAAAAAAAAACAAAAGAAAAAAAAACAAAAAGAACAAATAGAAAGCAGTCGTTTAGGTTTGCATCGGGAGCTCTTCTGTGTTTTCACAAACACCTCCACGGAGCTTGGTCTGGGCTGCGTGTGCTGCGTGTGCTGCGTGTGCTGCGTGGTTGGGCGGCGGAGCCCAGGGCCCACCTCTGTGCAGGGCTGGGCATCTCTGAATCACGGTTCTTCTGAGTTCGTGGTGCAGCCCCATGCTGCAAGAGAAAGCGCCGAGTAGATGGGAAGGTCAAGGGTCAGAGGTCACGGTGGGCAGGCCAGTGCTGTGGGGCTAATGAGGGAGCCTGGGCCCCGGGCACAGGCTGTGGGAGGTGAAGGGACAGAGTGAGGCCGGGAGAGCAGCCTTCGGGCACCAAGTGTTCAAAGGTGTTTAGGGTTTTCACTGCTGCTCGGTCTTGGACCTGGTCTGCGGCCGCATCCCGAGGCGCAGGTGCCCCGTGCAGTATCCGGGACGCGGCTGCGTGGAGGTTACTCGCCGTTCACCTGAGGCTCCGGCTGGCCTGGCCCTCGCTCTCCCGCCGGCGGCCCTGCCCTAGTGCGTCCTTGAGAAGGGAGCCCTCTGCTCGCTCCGGGGTGCACAGGGCTGTGACGGCTGCTCTCCCGCGCTCTGCAGAGACGCTGCACCCCGACGGCTCCAGGGAGATCCTGTTTCCAGATGGGACGGTGAAGCGGCTTAGGGACGGCCAGCAGGAGACCTTGTACCCCGACGGCACCACCGTGACCGTGAGGAGGTCAGAACCGCGGGCAGGAGCTTCTCTGCTTCGGGTTTGGAGTTCGGGGATTTCCGCCAACTGATGTAGACAGTGTTGCTGGGGGGTGCAGAGGGGGAGGCCGTCCTCACCCCAGAATGCAGCGTGGCAGGGGGACGCAGCTGGGGAAGACTGCCCTGCACCCCTGCAGTCCCGAGGCTGCTGAGTGGGGGGCTGTGTCGCCTCCTGGCCCCCGCCTCTGTCCACTGCTCCAGTTCTGCAGCTGCTGTCCTGGCTACTGTGGCCCCGTCCTCCGGGTCTTCCTCCTGGTGGTGTTACCCACCCCTCGGGGGCCGTCCTCCGCAGTGACCCCTCCCTTCCCTGCAGCGGGGGCTGTGCACTGGGCCCCCTGTGTCCATGACCTCCACTCCCCCGGCCCAGGCCCTGAGGCCCCTGCACCTGTCCCCTCCTCACCTCCACCCTGGATGAGGAGTGCGGACTGGGTGCTGGTGTCCAGCCCCCACTCGCGCCCACACCACCCTGGCCGTGTCCTCCCACCGGCTGTCCCCTGCAGGAACGGCGACAGGACCATCGTGTTCAGCAACGGGCAGAGGGAGATCCACACGGCGCAGTTCAAGCGCAGGGACTTCCCCGACGGCTCGGTGAAGACCGTGTACGCCAACGGCCGCCAGGAGACCAAGTACGCGTGCGGGAGGGTGCGGATCAAGGACGAGACGGGAGGCACCATCCTGGACCACAGGGCAGCGGGTCCCTGAGCACAGCCAGGTGCGTGATTGCCACCTCGGGACACAGCGGGGACCACCAACGCCAGGCCCCTACCGGTGGTCTGCGCCCCGCCCAGGAGAAATGGCAGAACCCTGACCCCCAGGCCACACCCTCCGAGTCAGCTCCGCCATGGGGGGCGGGGTGGAGCGGGTGGGGCCCCGAGGGCTGATTAGCGCGGAGCTCTCTCTCCCCCTGCCTGGGCAGAACCACGCCTTGCCCCTTCCTCTGGCATCTCAAAAACAGTCTGACTACTCCCCGCCGAGGACCCCAAGGCTTCAGCCCCGAGCCCTTGCTGGCCCAGATAGGAGGGGACCCCAGCTCTGGCAGTGAATCCAGGGGTCCCACGCGGGGCTGGACCCTGCGTGTGCTGCCGGGGCTTGTGCCCTGGCTGCGAGTCCCCTGGAGGTGTCTCAGGCGCAAGCAACCCTTTTGTGGTTTTGCAGGTTTCTTAGAAAACACAGAGGCAAACGGGCGTCCCAGTGATGTGTGTACTAAAAAGGAGAGTTCCCAAGACCCAGGAGGAGAGGAGTCATTTCTCGACCGTTGTCGCGTCGACGTGGTGTGAGCTGGTTGTCAGCTGAGCCCGTGTGCTCTGGGAGGCGTCAGACCTCATCCTTCAGCGCCAGGGTGCTTCGCGCTGGAATACGCCCTGCACACAAGGTAGTGCTCAGGGCTGGGCAGTCCCGGAGGGAACCAGAATGATGGGCTGCCTTGGCTTCGAAGGGAAAAGACAAACCCAGACGCCCACTGCAGTGACCCCGGGCAGAGGCCTGGTCTTCCCGGGGCCATCCCAGACCTCGCGAAGCCGCCTTCAGCCCAGCTCCAGGGCCTCGCCCTTGCCTGCCGTCCTCACGGGACGTCCTGGGCTCGCCCTTGTCTGCGTCCTCACGGGACACCGCCTCGTCCAGAGACCAGGCCCAGCTCAGGGAGAGGCAGTGCCGGGTGCCGCAGAGGGAGCTGCTGCAGGCCGGGCTGCTGGCTGGGCTGCTCCTCGGGCTGGTTCAGTCCCTGCCGCAGCCTCCGGTCAGCGCTGGATCCACACTGCAGCCTGGGGCGCCTGCCCCCATGCGTCCAGGGACCAGGCTGCACACGGTAACAGCCACGCTTCCCTCCCACTGCACAGCCTCACGTGGTGCCGCCTCCCCTCACCAGCGTGCCCCGCTCGGCTGCCTCGGGAGAAGGCACCACCTCGTCACGTCTTCTCTCTCTCTCGTTCTCGCAGACGTGCGGTCACAGGGACAGGGTTTGCAGTCACACAGTTCACAAGGCCGAGGGTAAGGATCATTGTAGACTTGCCCCTGCAGCGACTCCTATTGGCCTGAAAGGTGATAAGAACAAAAAGTGCATGTCAAATAAAAGCAACTGAAGGTTGAGAGAGAACAAGAGAGCCAGGGAGAGAGAAAGAGGGAGGGGAGGGGGACAGAGGGAGAGGGAGAGGGAGAGGGCGGGGGGAGGGAGGGGGCAGGGGAGAAGGACTGGGAGAGGGAGAGGGACTGGGAGAGGGAGAGGGAGGAGGAGGGGGAGGGAGGGAGGGACCGGGAGAGGGAGAGAGAGATGGAGAGAAAGAGGGAGAGAGAGGAGAGAGGGAGAGGGGGAGGGAGGGAGGGGGGAGGGAGAGAGGCAGAGGGAGGGGGAAAGAGAGAGAGAGATGGAGAGGGAGAGGGGGAGGGGGAGAGAAAGAGAGGGGGATGAGGAGGAGGAGGGGGGAGGGGGAGAGAGGGGGAGGGGGAGAGGGGCTGGGAGAGGGAGAGAGAGGGAGAGGGAAAGGGAAAGATGGAGGGAGAGAGAGGGAGAGGGAGAGAGGAAGAGAGAGAGAGAGGAAGAGGGGGAGGGGAGGGGGAGAGGGAGGGGGGAAAAGGAGAGAGGGGGAGGGGGAGGGATGGGGGAGATGGGAAGGGGGAGGGGGAGACGGGGAGGGGGGAGGGGGAGAGGGAATGCTCTTATCTGCTCGTTCCTCTCTCAGATGCCTGCAGTGTCCAGGGCTGGGCCAGGCAGAAGCCAGGAGCTGGGAGCCCCACCCAGGTTTCCCGTGTGGGAGGCTGGGGCCCAATCCCTGAGCCATCGCCCGCTGCCCCTCGCCCCTCGGGGTCTGCACCTGCAGGAAGCTGGGGTGGGGACTGAGCGTAGCACTTGATACAGGATGCGGCTGTGTAAGTGCTGTCCTTACTGGTAGGCCAAGTACCAAACTCTCCATAGTCAATGATCTTGACTATGTTTTTAAAAAGCTGGAAACGCCGGTGTCCTGTGATTCGTGAGGGTTTGCAGGGTTCGTGAGAAGTTGCACAGTGGCAGAGAGAGTGCTGACCGGGCCTGTGGGGTGGATGAGAGATTTCCCGGGGAAGCACTCCCGAAGTTGCCCCCTGCGGTGAGAGCCGTGAGCGGGGCAGGGCCCTGGTGCAGGACCCCCTGGGGGACTCGCTGCTGGGGTCTGGAAACTAAGAGGCAGGAGTCATCGCCCCTCGTCCCTCCAGGAAGCCAAGGGCAAACGCCTTGAGCGTCCGCAGGTCGCCCCTAACTGCTAAAGCTGTTCCCGTCTGGAGCACTTTATTCTCAGGTGGAGCTGGTGGGTCCCCCGGCTTCAATGTGTATCAATCGATGCCAACGACAGTCATTTCAGTTATCCCACGAGGCCACGCCAAGCTCACAGAACCTGAACTAAATGTCCAGAGGCTGCGGCTGGCGCTGAGGTGCAGTGGGTGCAGCCGCTGCCTGCGGTGCTGGCGTCCCCGTCACAGCGCCAGTTCAAGTCCCAGCTGCTCCACTTCAGACCCAGCTCCCTGCTAAGGCACCTGGGAAGGCAGCAGAAGACGGCCCAAGTGCTTGGGCCCCGGCACCCAGGGGGCCACGTGGATGCAGCTCCTGGCTTCAGCCTGGCCCCGTGGCCGTGTGGAAAGTGAACCTGTGGATAGAAGACTCTATCTATCTATCACCTATCCACCTATCTGTAACTGCCTTTGGAAACATGCAAAATATATATAATTTGATGCAAATATACAGATGTCACTAGAGCATGGTAGGAAGCTGCTGGCTGTTTAGCCGTATCTGCCGCGTGGCCGGGACATAAACTGAGATGCCTGCCCGCTCACCCTCTCCCGTCTTAAACCTGAGCTTAGTGGGAAAATCAGACTGCAAGAGCCGCCGGGCAGTGAAGACGCAGTCTGGGTGTCGGCACCCCACGTCGGGACGCTGGGTCAAGCCCAGCTCTGCCCCCGCTCAGCTTCCTACCAGTGCTGGGGGCAGACGCGGTGCCAAGGCCCCGGGTTCCTGCCACCACGCGGAGGCTCGGATCGAGGTCCTGGCTCCTGGCTTCAGCCTGGCCCAACCTCAGCCGGGGCTGGCGTTTGGGGCCTGAACCTCTGACTGGGAGCTCCTCCTCTGGGAGCCGTGGGGTGCACTCAACATTCTCGCACAGACCAGAGAAACTGGAAGAGCCGTCCAGGCCGCGCTGGGAGGCCACACCCCACGCCAGGACTGGCCCTGCCGGGGTCCAGGTGTAACTTACTAATGATACGCAAGGCACATTACAGATCTGTGGTTCTGTTCGCACCGACTGAGCTCCTCTGTGGTTGCCTGGGTCTTCTGGGGCGTCCGTGGCAGTGAGCCCCTGACGGGCGTGGGGTGCAGGTGGAGCGCGGGTCCCTGTGGCCGGGGACACTGACCGCAGCTCGCTGGCCAGTGCGGCTGACACACGGACACCGGGAGGTTGAGGTCAGGCCCAAAACCCTGGGAGGGAAAACCAGCGCCCAGGAGGGCGAGAACAGGCCACCAAGAGCGGACCCCGCAGGGAAAGCTTGCCGGCCTGGGGGAGAGACACAGCCCGAGCCCAGGTGGCGAAAGCCGGGTCCTGGGGACAGGCGCTGCCCTGTGGGCTGCAGGGGAGGGCCTGTCTGTCAGACCCGGCCGCCGCGACACGTCCCGCAGGGCCCAGCTCAGGGACCGGCACCGTGCCACTGCCCTGTAAGTGCTGCTCGTCCTCACCTGGAAGAAAGCACAGCGCACAGTGTTCCCACACGAACCCAGGACGCCGGCGCTCCGCCTGCCCCTGCCCGCAGCCCTGCGCCACCTCCGGGTGCCTGGAGCTCCCAGCATGCACTGCTGGGTCACCCCGGGCCCCTGCCGCGTCCGGTTCTGTCCTGACCGTGGGCTCCACTGGCTTGGAAAGGCCCCTCCTCCCCATAGCTGGGTGATTTCCTGGGCGGACGTGGCCCCTGAACCCGGACGGCGCCCATGAGCCCCGGGGACTTCCCGGGCGATGGGCCGAAGTCAGAGGGCTTGGCTCCCGGCCGGCAGCTCCCAGAGTGCGCGTCTTCCTCCTTCCCAAATAGGCTGTTTGTCCACAATCTGTCAGCACTTAAAGGACAGGCGACCCCAGGGGACCTCCGCGTGAACGGGCGCAGTCAAGGACTGAGACGTGGCATGAGCTGGAGCTCCCGCTGGGGCGGGGGACAGGGGCCCCGACCGCAGACACACAGCGCCCACGGACGCGGGAGGCTTCTGTACATAAAGGACACGCCTTGAGGATTTTAGCAGCAACTTCCAGGAGTGTTTCCTGTCTGCACTCAGAGTTATGGGAGTCACACCCACAGCCTGTGTTCTGTGTGTTTTGTGAAAAGGTGGCCTCATCAACTTTTTTTTTTTTTTTTTTTTTTTTGGACAGGCAGAGTTAGACAGAGAGAAAGAGACAGAGAGAAAGGTCTTCCTTCCATTGGTTCAACCCCCAAATGGCCGCTATGGCCAGCACTATGCTGATCCGAAGCCAGGAGCCAGGTGCTTCCTCCTGGTCTCCCATGCGGGTGCAGGGCCCAAGGACCTGGGCCATCCTCCACTGCCTTCCTGGGCCACACCAGAGAGCTGGACTGGAAGAGGAGCAGCTGGACAGAATCTGGCTCGTGCACCTGCTCCCGGGCCGCCGCAGGTCTCCCAGCTGGCAGCCTCCCTCGGGGCTACGGAGGTGTCAGGGCCCTGCTTGGCCACTGGCTTGGGCCACGACTCCCCACGCACCCTCTGGGCACCAGCCTGTCAGCAGGTGTAGTCGGCATCGCACACCAATGGCATCGGCTCGCACCGCAATACCAGAGCCGCTGGGCAGGCGGCAGCAGGCGAGAGGGAAGCAGTGTGCGTTTCCCACCAGCCCAACAGGACAAACGCAGCTCCCGACACGCAGCCTAGAAGTTGTCTTTCTTTTCGGTTGGTTGCTGCCTTCCAGCCCGGGGTGTGGGGAAGCTTTGCATAAACGAGTGTAGTTAAGCCTCCCCTGGCTGACCAAGGAGCGCAGAGTGCGGGGTGCGTTGGGAACTGTTTCAGCTGAGCGCGGTGCACACGGGGGAGTGCCGGCGCCTGCTCCGCCTCGCCCCATCCAACAGCACCTGCAGGGCCCCCTGCCTCCTCCCTGCCTGGGGTCGGTGCTCAGCCCAAGCCCGGGAGCTGCGGTGCTGACAGCGGGAGCCTCTGCCCGCGTCTCAGGCCAAGGACGGCAGCTTCCTTCTCTGGACCTCTCCTGGCCCCTCGGGCTCTGCCCCTGTGTGTCCTGTAGGCCCTGCCTGAGTCACATCCCAGCCCTGGCCAGGGCCCAACCCCTACACGGCCACCGTGGCCCCCTGGACGGGACGCTGTGGCTTCCTGCTGCGTGATCCTTCTTGCCTGGCCCTTGCTCTGTGTCTCCACCCAGCAGCCGGAGGGGTCATCCTCTGTCGCAGAGTCTAATTGTGCCCCCCCCCCCCACACACACACTGTGTCCATCCCGGGAGGCAGGGTCCCGGCAGTGTGGTGCTGAGCTGAGCTCAGCGAGGAGATGGTCGGCCCTGGCTGTCCTTGCCAGGAGAGGTGTGGACAAGGAGAGGCAGTGAGGACACGGTGCAGGAGGGAGGCCCTGTGACAATGGTGGTGCTCAGAGGCAAAGCATCCTCGAGCCGGCGGCGCCGAGCAGGCCAGGGCCGGCAGAGGCTGGGAGGGCAGCAGGGCCTGCTGGGAGCTGCGAGAGCGGGGCCCTGCCGACGCCCGGCTCGCACACTCTTGGCCTGGCCGCTGTGACGGAGCTGAGCCTGCCGCGTCGGTGCCCACGCCAGCTCAGGACACTGACGCGGGGTCCCGCCTGGCTCGGAAAATACCCAGGGCCTCACCTTGGCCTCTGCTGTGGTCCACTGATTCCTCACACACAGCCCGGAGGGCACTGGCCCAGGTGCACCTGCTGTCATGGCTCCAGTCTCCTCCCTGGGCTCCAGGTCCCTGCCCTGAGCTCCAGTCTCCTCCCTGAGCTCCAGTCTCCTCCCTGGGCTCCAGGTCCCTGCCCTGGGCTCCAGTCTCCTCCCTGAGCTCCAGTCTCCTCCCTGAGCTCCAGGTCCCTGCCCTGGGCTCCAGGTCCCTGCCCTGAGCTCCAGTCTCCTCCCTGAGCTCCAGTCTCCTCCCTGGGCTCCAGGTCCCTGCCCTGGGCTCCAGTCTCCTCCCTGAGCTCCAGTCTCCTCCCTGAGCTCCAGTCTCCTCCCTGGGCTCCAGGTCCCTGCCCTGGGCTCCAGTCTCCTCCCTGAGCTCCAGTCTCCTCCCTGGGCTCCAGTCTCCTCCCTGAGCTCCAGTCTCCTCCCTGGGCTCCAGGTCCCTGCCCTGGGCTCCGTGTCCCCTCCCTGGGCTCCAGGTCCCTGCCCTGGGCTCCGTGTCCCCTCCCTGGGCTCCAGGTCCCTGCCTGGGCTCCGTGTCCCCTCCCTGGCTCTTTACTGCAGGGCACTTTGTGTTTTCCCGTGGTCACCTAGTGAGGGACATTTGGTGCAACCCTACACCCCTACACATAACAGCTGTGTGGTCATCGGTCTTTCTTTCTGACGATGGGTGGATGGATTTGAAAGAGTTACAGAAAGGGAGTGACAGAGACAGAGGTCTTCCGTCCACTGGGTCACTCCCCAGATGGTCCTAGCAGCCAGTGCTGGACCAGGCTGGAACCAGGAGCTTCTCCCAGGTCTCCCATGTGGGTGCAGGGGCCCAACCACTTGGTCCATCCTCGGCTGCTTTTCCCAGACCACAACAGAGAGCTAGATCAGATGTGGAACAGCCAGGACAGGACCTGGCACCCATCGGGATGCTGGCGTCGCCGGCAGTGGCTTTACCTGCTGTGCCACAGCGCCGGCCCAGTGATCAGTCTTTAGCATTCCCCTTGCATGGCTCCTCACACCTGACACACATGGAGTCGCTGTGTTGGCAGAGGCCACTCGAGTGCAACCCCTCCCTGCACTGAGCACACCTGGGAGTGTGGCCCCTCCCACACTGAGCACACCTGGAAGTGTGGCCCCTCCCACACTGAGCACACCTGGAAGTGTGGCCCCTCCCACACTGAGCACACCTGGAAGTGCGGCCCCTCCCACACTGAGCACACCTGGGAGTGTGGCCCCTCCCTGCACTGAGCACATCTGGAAGTGTGGCCCCTCCCACACTGAGCACACCTGGAAGTGTGGCCCCTCCCACACTGAGCACACCTGGAAGTGTGGCCCCTCCCGCACTGAGCACACCTGGGAGTGTGGCCCCTCCCTCACTGAGCACATCTGGAAGTGTGGCCCCTCCCACACTGAGCACACCTGGAAGTGTGGGTGCAGCCCCTCCCTCACTGAGCACACCTGGAAGTGTGGCCCCTCCCACACTGAGCACACCTGGAAGTGTGGGTGCAGCCCCTCCCACACTGAGCACACCTGGAAGTGTGGCCCCTCCCCTCCTTGAGCACACCTGGAAGTGTGGCCCCTCCCACACTGAGCACACCTGGAAGTGCGGCGCTCAGACCTGGGTCTCTAGTGCTGCGAGCGAGTGAGCGTTGGCTCATTCCCTGTGTGCAAGGGCTGCTTGGGGCCAGATGAGCCTGCCTGGGGCTTCCTGGGTGAACGGTGGCTCCTTATGGCACAGATCAGGTGTGGGCAAGGCTCCTGGGGAACCAGACACAGAGGCTGCCCTTGTCAGACCCAGAGGCGTGGAGAGGGGCAGGAGGCAGAGGGAGGCCAGGAGGGGTGGGCCCATGGGGGGGCCGCAGTGCTGAGGGCGGTGACCGAGTGCTGGGAGGGTGGGGCCTGGGCACTTGGGGGCGGGGGCGGAGCACTGGGGGCGGGACAGGCCCAAGCCCCTGTGGAATGTGGGGCTTCTCCAACAGCTCCTCCTGTGTGTCTTATGCTCCCTCCTCTGCCTCTTGGGGACAGGGAGAGGGGGCGGGCAGTACAGACACAGGGCACTGGGGACACAGTCTGTGGCGGGGACACGCCAGGCTCAGCCGGGCATGTCCCCTGGGGTGTCCAGGAGCCCTTTGCCCCAGCAGTGGTGACTTTGTCTTCTCTTGGTCCTGCCCGGCTCTGCACCCGGCGGTCACTGCCCAGATGAGGGAGGACCCCGTCTGCCTCCACTCACTCTCCCATCCCCGACACTGGCTGGCACCCGCCCAGGGCTCCGGGAGCACTGGGGAGGACACGGAACGCTGAGCCCAGTTTAGGGTCAGAGTCCTGTGCCACGTGTCCCACTGGAAATGATTTCTTTCTTTTTTTTAAATAAAGTTTATTTTGGTGCAAAGCTTTTTCATAATATGCATTTTCCAAGATCTTGTTGAAGATCCCCCCCTTTTAAAATATTTATTTATTTGAAAGTTACACAGAGAGGAGAGGCAGAGAGAAAGAGAGAGAGAGAGAGAGAGAGAGAGAGAGAGAGAGGTCTTCCATCCGCTGGTTCACCCCCCAGATGGCTGCAATGGCCAGAGCCGCGCTGATCTGAAGCCAGGAGCCAGGAGCTTCTTCCAGGTCTCCCACGCGGGTGCAGGGGCCCAAGGACTTGAGCCATCTTTTACTGCTTTCCCAGGCCACAGCAGAGAGCTGGATCGGATGTGGAGCAGCCGAGTCCTGAACTGGCACCCACGTGGGATGCTGGCACTGCAGGTGGCGGCTTTTACCCGCTGTGCCACAGCGCCGGCCCCTCGAAATGATTTCTAAGCCACTCGCACCGCGACGTCTGTGTGTGCAGTGAGTGAGCCGTGTGAGGTCGCGGAATCAAGGCATCTGCACTGGCGGTGACTCCGTAAAATAATCGCATTTATTCAGAAACACAGACTCTGCGAGCTTCCAGCAGCCGCAGCTCCGTGTGGCTCTGCCGCTCGCTGCTCATCTGGCGCTGTGTGAGCTCTGCGGGGCGTCTTCAGGAGAACCCACGCAAGGGTCGGCCGTGCCCCAGGCCGGGTCCCAGTGGCCGGCTGCCTTCCCCTCCACTCTGCGTGGCTTGTGGTGAGATGTGGGCGGAGAATCATTAGAACAGAGAAACGCTCCAGAGAAGCGCAGTCACACGTGGCTGTGGCCACATGGGGCAGGCCTGGTTGAGAGCGGGCAGCCGGACGCCCCCGGTGTGTCTTCAGCCCACTCCCCGTTGCGGCCGCACACGGGCCTCACAGGGCCGTCTGCGTGTTCCCCTCCGCGTGGGCTGCCAGCCCTGCAGCCGGCGGCGTGTGCGTCTTCCTGGCCTCCATGCGCTCCACGGTTCCGTAGGCCGCCATGGTCACGGTCAGCACGGCCAGCAGGATGTAGAGCTTGACGCTGACACAGAGGAAGGCGCTGTACCCGAAGGCGGTGACGAAGCCCAGGGCCTCCCAGAGGCGGTAGCCGGCAAAGGCCGCCTCCTTGTGCTTCTCAAACAGGACCCCGTACAGAGCTGCGAGGGAGGCGGGCAGAGGTGCTGCGGTAAACCTGGTGTGCTCCGCCCCACGCCGGGCAGCCGGAACTGCCTCGTCCTGTGGGCATGGGGGAGACTGGGGGACCCCCCGCTCTGGTCCCCTGGCCTGCTCAGGGCAGGGCCGGCCGCCCCATGGGAGCTGCCCCAGACTCGCCCGGGGGCTGGGTCACGTCCACACCAGGGAGCGGAAGTGCGCAATAGAGACCCGGGGGCTGGCAGCCAGCTCCCCCGGGACTGCAGGGACCCATCTGCACAGCACCTGTTATGGACCGACCCGGGGACAGGCCAGAGGACAGATGGACAGGCCACTCCAGAAATGAGAGGCATTCTGGTTTGTTGTTGCTTTTAAGAACTTAATTTCCCCGCTCTGGATTTAAAGTGAATGGTGAGGGTCTCTGCGGTTATCAACTGAGTTTTCTAGAAAACACCCTGGGAATTCGCAGCTGCTGCCGAGAACCAGCGCCCACGGGCCTGCTCCCCGGAGTTCCTGCGCACCTGGGACAGAGCGGACCCGCGTCCAGGAACCCTCGGCTCGGATCCTCCCGGCTGTGAGTGCGCGGTGACCCCACCCGGCCCCGAGTCTGACAATATCAAACATCGGCACTCAGATCCTGCCGGCTTCTGTCCTAAAACTGGATCCATAACCGAGAATCCTGGGAAGGAAATCCAAGCCGCCAGTGTGGACGCTGCCACCGCCGGCCGGTCGGTTAGCCCACGTTGGGTAGTGCGGAGGCCCCGCGCGGCCACGGAAGGAAGCGGACCAGGACACACACGGCCTGGCCTCCTGAGCACTCGGTGGCACAAGCGACTCATGCCAAGCAGACTCGTCAGCCCCCCAGGACGATCTAGCCGAGGCCGAGCAGTGACGACCGCGGTCG